TCGTTTATCGATCACATTTTACATCGGGTTATCATAGAGCATGCGATATACTGAAACGATTGTTTGGTAGAACACACGAAGTAAGCCGGGCTTTGCTAAATAACTTGACTGAAGGTTCCAATATAGAACACAACGACGGAGAAAGTCTATCTAGGTTAGCGATAAAGGTGGAAAATTGTTCTATAGTTTTAGAACAAATGTATTATTCGGTGGATCTCAACTCTGTAGTAACTATAGAAAGTATAGTAAAGAAATTGCCCACGGCTTTACAGATGAAGTGAGCTAAAAAGGTCGGAAAGATAACGGCAAATGGTAGAGAGCCTACTTTTGCCGAGTTAACAGAATTAGTATCATATAGAGCAGAAATTTTACTCAGCAGATTCGGACAGATTGCAACAGCTATTAAACGGGTTGTAAGCAGGGTGGCCTGTTCCATACAAGGATTGTCGTTCGGTAAAATTGTTAGCAAGTTACCTTATCTTATATGCGGAGAAAATCATAGGCTGGATAAATGCTATCAGTTCTCCACATTAGCAGTCAACGATAAGTGGGCGAAAGCGAGAGAAAAAGGTTTGTGTTTTTGTTGTCCTAGAAGAAGAGACAGATCTGTGGATTGTAAAGATCGCGTTGTGTGTACTATCGAAGATTGCCGGGATCGGCATCACCCATTGTTGCATAAACCTACTCAAGTTCAGGGTTGTTCAAGTGAGCGGTTGAAAGAAAGTCATTGTGGGTACACAAAGTCACTAACAGAGGATGTTTTCTTGGCTTAATCCCTGTACGCCTTAGAGCTGGGATTAAGGAAGTTTGTGGATATGAGTTTCTAGACAATGGCTCCTATACAACCCTAACCAAGTCAAGTACCGTACGACTTTTAGGTTTGTCGTCAGAGAGTACGTCGGTTACCATCAAAACAGTGAACGAAAATAAGTTAACAAGATCGAAAACCAAAGCCTTTAAAGCCTACTCATTAGGTGGAGACGAGTGTATATGTATTGAACAGGTTGTTGCAGTAGATGATTTGCCGGTTCATAGACCAAGAATACTTGTGAAGGACAGTGCCAAGAAATGGTCACATCTTATGGACTTACCTTGGTTAGAATTGGCGGGTGGTGAAGTTATGTTGCTTATTGGTTGTGACGTGCCTGAAGCGCATTGGGCCCTGGACCAAAGGTTAGGTAAAAGAAAGAGTCCTTATGATGTTAGAACACTGCTAGAATGGGTTCTTATTGAACCAGCAGGTCACGACAAACATGGGGAAAGGACCGTAAATTACATTTCTCAAATTGGTGCCCCTGTGGAGCATAGCTTTGGGTTAGCTGACGACTATTCCTCTGATAAATCATTGTCTATGAATGATTCAAACGTAAGTAGCATAGTAAAGCGCGATGATTATTTTTATGTTTGTTACAAAATTGTTCCTTTACGTAGAGGAGTGACTGAGGAAAACGTTGCTGCCTCTGTAATCAACAATGGGTCTGGTATGTGTAAAGCTGGCTTCGCCGAAGACGACGCTTCAAGAGCCGTATCCTCTATTGTCGGAGTAACTCGACATCAAGGAGTGATGATGAGAATGGATCAAAAGGGCAGTTATGTGGGAGACGATGCTCGATCGGAACATGGTATCCTGACACTGAAGCACCAAATTGAACATGGTATTTTGACTAAGTAGGGTGATATGGAGAAGACATATTACCATGCATTCGACGACGAAATGCGTGTGGCAAGCGGTGTTGTTACTGTATGCATCTGGTTGTACAGCTGGTATAGTGTTGGACTCAGGTGAGGGTGTGACTCACATAGTTCCAATTTATAAAGGTTATGCATTGCCTTATGTTATTTCGCGTCTGGACCTTGCTGGTAGAGATCTTACCGACTTTATGATGAAGATCCTGACTGAGAAAGATTGCAGTTTCTCTGTTTATTTGTGGAACATACTCAAGCGCAAACCTCCGGACAACGTTTTGCTTTATAGTAAGTTACTAGTTTTACTGAGAAGGAGAACTTATTGGGAAGCTGCGAATGCTTTGATTCCTGGAGGGGGCCCAATAGCATCAGACTGTAAGTTAGGTTTATGGATGTACAGGCGTACTGTTGTAAGTCCTGTGCTTCCCATCGATATAGAGCAGTTAGTAAGGAGAGCCATGACAGGAATGCATTCTAAGCTGTCTCTGCGTAGTTGGAGGGATTTTTGGGCCCGGTGTAACGGAAAGAAAACGATGAAAATCTCTCCACAGCCTTTTTTGTTGAACAGTATTTTCATTTATTTGTTTTTTCTCTCAGTCATATATTTTAACTTTTGTTCAGACCTCGTTTGAGCTCTTATTATGTGATTTTGATTAAAAACTTATCCTTTTGTTACCTAATTTTCTATTGCATGTTGCCGGACTATTGACAGTAAGGTCGTGTTTGACTAAGTTCAAGGTGACGGCGTGATTCAGTGTGTGACTGTTAACCTTTTGACTGTCTGCTTGGGAGGATTTCTGGAATCCCTGCAGATCGATATTTGATCCCGTTTGTTGGGAATATATTTGTTGATTCTCAGGTATCAAACACTTTGGTATTGACTGTTTGTTTTATTGTTTAGCGCACTAATTTTCGTTAAGGAAACTTCTGACTGCATAGCGCAGGCTGTACCGTTTGAGGTATTTTGTATTTTTGATATAATTTGTTCTATTTCTTAAATTAGAACCGTATGAATTGGGAACAGAGCTTGTGTTTTGATATAATTTATTACGAGTGTCTCAAAAACGCTTGGCGAGCTATACAGAAGATCGTAGTCTGGTCTATTGGAATATATTTTGGTTCGTCGGTCCTGCGTTCAAACCGAATACTGGCAGTTCGGTCGTTACAGTATGTTCATTTTCGAGGGTTTCGTGAATAATGACAAGTGACAATACTGGTCAATATTCACCATTCTGACCACTATCTAACCTTGAGTTTAGTGGAAAAATAACAATGGTCAACGGTTCGGTACCATATAACACCGAGATAGACATTACCCAGAGTCCAGTAATAAGGCTTTAAGTTAAAAGATTAAAGAATGTTAGTATATGGCAACAAAAGCCCTAAATAATAGTTATTATATATAAAACGAGAAAAAATCGGGACTTTTAAAAGCATTCATTTTGTCACATGTGCTCCTGGCAAACCGGGAACATTATTGTGAAGTTCAAGGACGAAAAAAGTCGCTCCTCGAGCGAAAATAGTCAACCACAATCATTCATTTACGCAACCACTGTAATATACTATCGAGTCATGTGAAAACCAAGACAGATAGCGGAATGCCATACAGTGGCGTCGAAATGATTCGAAACCAAAATGAAGGACCGGGAAAGTATTAATAGCTCAATTTGAATAAAAAATTATATACGACACGCAGAAATGAGGACATTTGAGGAAACATAGTCATCTTTAGGTTTAAACAATGCTTCATTTTCATATAAAGTACATACAAGGAAGATTCACACAGATGCGTTTACACAAACCTAAAAAATCACAGAGAATTCATCGTTGGTACAACTAATTTGTAACATTCACTTCAAGGAGATTCCAAAAAAAAGATTATTATTTTACTTAATCCGCGTAACTCATCATATTGCTAAGTATACTTGAGGTATTCATATGAAGTAGATTATTCTTTCGTGCCTTTAGGTAACTTTCGTTCTATTGATAGAAGAAACCACATTAGTAGTGAATAGGTCTTTATTTAGATCACGTGGCAGTCACTGTGGAGCCGGGGATTTCTTGTTCAAGCACACAAAGCTTTTCAACATTCAATTTAATATTATAGGAAATATAACGTCTGTACAAAAGAAGAAAATGAAAGAATATTTGAACTCTACTGTTTTGACATATACTTAGTTGTTAGAGGTCGACTCTTAACTAATCGACCTAAGCTGTTACATTAGCCTCTCCTAGAATCCAGTTCTGTAGGAACGTCGGCTTGATCAACCTATCTACCAAAAACACCTACATTCTGTTTCTACAGCCCAAAGGATAATAACCAACTCATTCAGTGTTTGACTTTCAGTCAATGACGACCAACTATGTCATTATTCGACAATAGTCGATGGATGTGTCTTCATCTACTGGCTTATTATTTCATCTCATAGCATCCAATTTCTTACGCGACTATCGCTGATGGTTTACTACGTGCCCTCTACATGGTTACCAGAGCTTGTAAGAGAAAAGAGGGTGTGGAAATAAAATCAGAATATCTGAGGAAGTGAATGAATACTTGAGCTCAATTGTCCTGGCATATACTTAGTTTTTTGAGGTTGAATCTTAACTAATTAACCTAAGCTGTTAAATTCTACTAAAAAACAGACTAGTGATATCGTCAAGAATTTATTCTAAACAGTTTACTAGTATACTGATGGTTCTGGTTTAGTTCTGTCGTGCTGGATATCGGTTTCCTGTGCCTCTTCTGAATCCATATAATTCTCAAAAGTCACGTGACATCTGCTCTACCAGTGTGAAACAAGAGTGGGAGCGAGCACTTGCAATGAAGGGTTGTAAGTCTAATTGACCGCTACAAAGATTCCCGATCCCTTTTAGCTAATCCAGCTACTCTTTTAGTTGGTACAACCTTAGATTTCAAAGGTTGTTTTGTGAGCTACTGCCGAGCAGCATAAAGTAAGTTCTCAAAATCCAAGACTCTAGAATTCAACAAACACTTGTATTCCTTCGTTGTAGTAGTTTTTGTCTGGGAAATTCTCCATCAAAGTGAGCTCTCACTAAAGTTTACTTTTTATGGACTATAGAAGTTATATCATCGCCATTGACTGATGAATTTAACGAAAATATGAACACATGTTGAGGCATAGCAAGATATAAATTATATGAGCTCTTGTACTTTTATTCCTAAATAAGACACATGGCTCTGTACTTTGAATCTTATAAGCAGAGACTTGAAACTGTACTAAAACCGTTAGGGGAAAGCACAAAGAAACCAATAAGTATACTCAAGTCTGTCAAGAAGATATTAGATATTGAATGTCAACCCGGGCTCTCTGGTGACTGCGTTACGTTATGTAGAACAAATGGACTGTATGTTAGAAGTCTAGTTAATTCTTTGCTCTCCATTAAGTCTTTCTGATAGAATTTATCGGTAAAACAACACAAGTTTCGCTTCATATGCTTACATGGGATTAAGTAGTGACCATTATAACCACCAATACAAATAAATGCTCAAGTTAGACGATCATATGACTCATGAGTTAAAAGACACATTTCAAGATGTATCTGCATCTAATATTGAAAACCGAAACTCCGCCAGTCATTCTCGTCAAAATCTTGCCGGTGGATCCGGAGTTTTTGCAAATTTCTTCGAAGAAATGGCCGAACCACTCTCTTACCAATCTTCAAATCTCATTGAGGGAAGACAGAGTACTATATCTACGCAGGACTGTAAAATCCAAACACAGAGTAACGAGGTGAAGGAGGGCAGTTCTCCTATGCTGCGTGATGAGATTAGTCCTATGGAAGCTTTCTACGGTGATAATGCAGATGACGACCTGAAAATTCTTGAACGATATCGTCTGCTCGTTAATTCTTATTCCGATTCTAAACCATGCCAAGATGATGAATCCCAGGTAATTCGTCGAGAGTTTTGCCTTTCTTATGGTGGTAGTTTTAAGTCATATACTGGTGATGCTAATAACATATATATCAGTGAGAATATAATTTATGGACAACCTTTGAGCAGTGCTAATGTAACCTTAAGATTATTCACATACTTACTAGGGGCAAGAACGTTCGCAATATAGTATGAGGTATCGGGACTATGATTTAAAAGTAGAGTTAGGATTAAGAATTGGAATCTATTATTATTATCAATGGCTTTATTCAGTGTTATATTTCGGTACAATATAGGATTTTCATCACGAATTGACATTAGTTACAATGTGGAAGTGCTATTTAAACATGTGAACAGATGAATTTTGCACTAAAATTCAGGGCTTCCTATTTTACATGCCATTGATTCGTCCACAAATTATAGTCTCGCCCTGCCTGACAAATTTTAGAAGGAATTTAAGAGACGAGGAAATTTCATTCTGTTACAGTCAGTATTATAACTTTAATCTTGTATTTGGAATGAACTAATTTATGTTTTGAAGTCTCCCGCACTTTCACTACCACTACGGGATTTAAATCGATAACTGAATCTCTGTACTAATGTGATATGGCAACTGTAATTGATGTACGTACGTACGAAGTTCCACGTTGCTACTGACTGACTGAAAGGAACAGTTTTCTAAGGCAATGTTGCTCAATCAGATCATTTTGGTAGACAAACTTCACCACTGCGTCTTGACTAAAACTATAGTCGAGTGGTCGATGATCTTTAGTGATATAATACAGGTTGTACATTATTTAACTAACCGTATTCAATCTTCACCTAATGGTGTTCATTCACTGATCTCGATTGTTCTGTTTAGAGATATGCTACTTAATTTATTTCTAATGTGTTTGAAATGATTATTCAAGTTCATTTATTTTTTATCCTTCCCATTCACCTTTATTGTATTGATTTGTTACATCGCAAATCAGATTGATACACATTCATGTAGGGTCAATTTATTTTATTTTATTTGAACACAAATATTGGTACAAGAGGGCACCAACTATATATACGCCACACAAAACAATGGGAATTTGAAGAGAAGAGAAAAACAACAAAAAACGAGGAGGGTAAGGAGCGTAAAAAAATAAAAGAATAAAAACGAACAGATTAGTGTAAGGTAGTGTAATAATAATAATAATAATAATAAAGTAATAACTATAATAATGGGGGAAAACGGAAAGGTACAATCAGAAGAAATCTTTCAGTTAAGTAAGAAGCAACCACTTTGATTGCATCCGGGCTGCAATCTGTTGGGGCATAGGTGGAGATGACGAAAAGACATCGTTTCTCATGCCGATTTCTTCTCACTTTGATGAAATTTTCTGATCTAACAGCACATAACCGACTGTTAATGGGGATCCAGTCGATTAGTGATGCCTCAGCTCTAGCGCTTAGTGCGACACCAACGCCAGCAAGACCAGATGAAGATGCCACAGGGTCCCCGGGTAAACGCACGTAAAACAAGCTTTTTGAAGTGACAGATGGAGAGCGAATTTGTAGTACTTAACCAGAGTCTTGAATACGGGTCTCGGATAGAAAACAAACATCGATATTAAGACTCCACAAAGACATAGCCAGCCCTATCTGTTGTCCGACCTGCATAAGTGTGCGAACGTTGAAGGCAGCCAGTTTGAATGGTGCACGTGGCTTTAGAAAAACTGCTTCAGTATTCGTATTCGGTGGTAGCATACAATTTTCAACCAGGCAGTGACTCGAGAACGTTTAGATAGAACCGAATTTCCACCATAGGCGAGCTGCTGTATAAGTCGAAAAATAAGGTTACATAAAGTGGGAGTAAAAGAGAGTGAATAAATGACGTGATAAATAATAATAATAATAGTAATAATAATAACAGTAATGGTAATGATAATGATAATGTGAATCATCCGATTGTTAATTGGAGCAAGAAAGTATCTTCTATAAATGTCAACATTTCATCATGTTTGTGTGTGGGCTGTGATACTGCTCGGGTGCCAAAACCGAAGCAGGTGGTTTTCTTAGGGGGTCACATCCCGAGCGTTCGACCTGAAGATCTGATCCACAAGGCAGTGGAGCATCGTGAGGAGATGCAGTTCCATGGTAGCCAGCCGGTGACCAACGATTGGTTCATACGCCATTTGTTCCTTCAGAATACTGGAGCCCATGTGCACCATTAGCTTTGGATCAGGTTAAAGCGCCGGACATTTTCTTTTCGTCCTCTCATTTTCGTAAACAACACCCCCGCCACGAGAAGGCAGTGAGTAGGACTTCCCTGACATAGGCTGTATACGCGTGGTCGTGTAAGAACGTTTCGAGGGGGGCGGGCCCACATCACTCTCGGCCATACCAGGGCATTTGGGGGCTTCTAGAAATATTCTAAAAATAAGTATATTGCGTAAGATGTAGTGATGCAACATAATTGCTTAAATTTAAGTAAAGGAACAATGTCCGAACCAGAAAATCAACACTAAAACTCGTATACTCGGACTATTCAGCTACCATTCTAATAAGCTATTAATATTTTATATGACCGGCGGTTTTTATATAGCAATTAAAGTAACCAATATATAATCACTTGATTATAATTTATGAAACGCTTTAAGTACCTCAACTTGATTGGTTAGTTAGGATTGTTTTTTATACAAAAAGTACGTAAATATGTAATCTGGTGCATAGTTGCATTCCCTTGAATTTATCTTTACATTGATAACAGGAACGGTAATATTTACTCTGCTTTTTTTTCTTTCTCATATTATCAAAGCTGATGCAGTTATCTCATGGTGATACACTAAAACGTGGTGGACTACCACATGGCGTAACAGAATACAATCCAACTGATTTAAGTAGCCAGTTGTGTATGTCATACATACATAGAAGTAAACCACCTAAAGTATTGGCCAATCGTTTTCTTCTTGGTTCTACAATTGGGCGAGGAAGTTATGGGAAGGTAATTTTTTTATGATCGTTATTTAAATTAGTTTGGTAGCACTTGTTCTTTTTAATTGCAAGTTATTTTCATCAAGTCTACTTTAAATTTCTGGAAGTAGATCTGAGAGAATTGCTTGATGGTAATGTCGGTTTATTACTTAAAGAACGGGTTTTATATCTTTCATGTGTTCACCACATTGTTTTATTTTGTAATCACCCACTTATTTATTTATTATTTATTTAACACATAGGTATTGGTACACGGAGGCACCAAGTACATATGCGCCACACGAATCTCAATTGATATGTGTGAGGGCTGTGATACTGCCCGGGTGCCAAAACCAAAGCAGGTGGTTTTCTTAGGGGGCCACACCCCAAGCCTTCGACCTAAAGGTCTGACCCATAAGGCAGTGGAGCATCGTAAGGAGATGCAGTCCCATGGTAGCCGGTGACCAACGATTGGTTCATACGCCATTTGTTCCTTCAGGATACTGGAGCCCATGTGCACCATTAGCTTTGGATCAGGTTAAAGCGCCGGACATTCGCTTTTCGTCCTCTCATTTTCGTAAACAACACTCCCGCCACGAGAAGGCAGTGAGTAGGACTTCCCTGGCAGAGGCTATATACGCATGGCCATGTGAGGGCATTTCGAGAGGGAGAGCGGACTCTCCCCACTCTCGGCCATACCAGGGCATTTGGGGGCAATCACCCACTTATAGATCAAGGTATACGTACTTAGTTGATAAGTATTGTTTACACGTAAACTACTTCTAATAGACCAATAGGGATCTACTTGTATATTCACTCTTTATGATGATCTGTTGGAAATATTTAAGAGGTTTATGTATCTAGATAGCTGAGTGAAAAACGAAATAAACCAATGTATAATAAACTGAATATCAGTGGATACTGATATGGGTCATCTTTCATACCGTAAGTTTAACCGTAAAAGATAGAGTACAAAACTCAGTGGCGCTGTCAGCTCTACAGTTTGTTTGCAAAATTTAACTTCCCAACAATGGGGAATATTCGTTGTTTGTATTTAATCATTGTTATCTATAATGAACAAGTTCCATCCATTATCAAGACTACATAAGTTATGCTACGTGCTAGCAATATGTGTCCAAGTACAACAAAAATTATTTCCAAGTAAATAATACTATCAGTATCACAGCCCTCACACATATCAATTGAGATTTGTGTGGCGCATATGTATTTGGTGCCTCCTTGTACCAATATCTATGTGTTAAAATAAATATTAATAAATAATACTATGTTCAAATAAAGTCTCCAGTGGCTTACTCACATTATATACTTTCATACGGTACACTTTACAGACACTGAAATCGTATGAAAAATAAAAGAAATGGCCAGTTAATGGCCAAATACTTGGTTAAGTATGTTAATTCATCAGACCTTAAATAGAAGTCCTAGAAATTGTGCGATTCATTCTCTCTGAAAGTTATTGAACATGATAATAAATATACTTTTGTCAAATCCCAATTAGTAGAAAAATCGCATTTCTACTCATCGGGATAATAACAAAAATATATTTAGAGAGGGGTTTTGTGGATATTATAGTGATTTAATAGTTGGATTCATGAGTCAATTGAAGCTAGATCACTATGAAAAACCTGGAAGCACTGGACGCTTGTTTCGTCTTAGTATAGGACTCCTTAGCAGTGCTCATCTACGATCTCGCCTCGTGTGATTCGGACCCAGGACCTATCGGCCTCACGCGCGAACGCTTGACCTCTAGACCACTGAGCTGGCATCCAACGGTGTTAATGTCTAACTCCAACCAATCCACGAAATTGCGCCACCGTCTACGATTGCCTTCAGTGAGTTACTATCTCCCAACAGACCCGGTTTAACTCCACTGGTCACGATTTCTCGCTAGGACTCCAGGAAATACCTCTTGGAGACCGTCGCTGGTAAGCATATGATGATTATAATCAGAGAGGGGTTGTGTAGATATTCTAGTAATTTAATAGTTGAGATCACGAGTCAATTAAAGCTAGACCACCATGGAAAACCTGAAAGCACTGAACGGCCGTTTCGTCGCGGATGCGCACTACTGAGGAGTCCTGCACTAGAACGAAACGACCTCCCAGTGCGTTCAGGTTTTCCATGGTGGTCTAGTTTCAAATAACTCATGAATTAAACTGTTAAATTAAAATGCTAAAAATATATTTATTACTAACTCTACCCAATGCTCAATTTCTTTGAAACTATCAAGTCGAACCTTGGTATTGATACCTGTAAAGTCGTTAGTTATTGAACTTGGTTTACAACAGAGGAATAATAATAGTCCAGTCTTACTTCTCTTTTGTGTTTTCAAACAAAGTGTCAGCTGAATAAATTGTACTTTGTTTTCTTGTTTAGACCCGTTCTTTCAAGTGCTACTGGCATGTATGCAATATATAGCCTTTATATAGATAATTTTTCCATTGTTATAACTCAACCCATTTTGTTTTGTTTTATGTATACTAACATCCAAATGTGATGATCAACAAATTAGGTTGAATCATAACCAAATCATACTAACTTGTTCACCAAGTACTTGGATATAAGACACACTGTAAGTGTGGGGGCTAGTGATACTACCCGATTGCCCAAACTAAAGTAAGTAGGGCAGGCTTTGAACGTGGGACACTTAGTGATCGAACGTCGAACCATTAAACCACTGCTTCACAGTTAGTCAATATAAAACTCCGAGTTTTTAACTATCCTCTTTAGGCATCGATTCTAAAAATAACTTTACAAACAATTTAAAATAATAATTACAATATTTTCTTTTCAAAATACCCAACAGTACGATACTAAATCCAGTTTTTAATGGTTTTAATGATACAACTTTAGAATATTGACTAAATTATCTTATTTCATTCATTTATTATTCTGTAATACAATTACTTATTCTTATTTTTCGTTTCAAAAATAATTTGAAGTACTTTTCAGCGAAAATTAAAACTTTATGGTTATTATTATTACTACTATCATTATTATTATTACTATTATTATTAATCTTTGTCAATCACCATATCATGAAAGCAGAAGGAACAGGGAAAAAAAAATCAAAAGTAACCGAAAGAAAACAATAAAACTACTTTTAAATAATTGTGTCTCATGTCTTGTAATTTGACTAGTCAAACAATAGACCAATAAATGTATGTAAATCTAATCAACTTGTACAATGATAGATTATATTAATCATATCTTCTGTTTAACGATTAATCTGATTAAATATTGAAAATTAAAAGAGAACATATAAATAATGTAAAATTAACAAATTTTATGATTTATCATGATATTATGTTATTAAATCATAGTAGAGATGTAACAACATGTTTGAATACTTTTTTTTTCGATTTATATTCGTTTGGAACAGTGATATAGGTGTTCTCATTAACTGTATACATAAATAGTGTAACAGGATTCATTTTGTTAAGTATAGGTTTATGTACTCGGTATTGAATTAAACTATTCTTACTTGGGCTAATGACAGTACTATGCAACTATTCAAAACAAAGTAAATGGGAAGAGGTGGAGTATCAATATGCAGCCTAATGGTTGAAGGTCAAATGTGTTATAACTATAAAACTACCGTATCATCTGTATAGAATGTGTAATTTTATTTATTTATTTAAACACATAAACATTGGTAGAAAGAGTCACCAAACATACATGCGCCACACCCTGTCATTCGAATTGTGTGAGGGCTAGAATACTGCCCGAGCGCCCAAACCGAAGCAAGAAGTTTTCTCCTCGAGCCTTTGACTTACATGCCGGTGACCAACCATTGGGTTTATACACCATTTGTTCTGTCACGATACTGGAGCCCATGTACACTATTGGTTTGGAATCAGGGTTTACCAACTCATCTAGATGGATCCTTTATATCCACCAACTCGGTTAAACCGCTGGATATTCGCTTTTTGTCCTCTCAATTTCGTAAGCAACACCCGCACCACGTGAAGGCTATGAGTAGGACTTTTCTGACAGTGGCTGTATATATGTGATTATGTGGGAGAATTTCGAGAGGAAGAGCTGACTCTCCCCACCCTCGACCGTGCCAGGGAAATTGGGGGCAAATGTGTAATATTCAGGTTGACATTGAGAATAATTGTCGTAACATGTTGAGTAGGTAGCATCCAAACATTTTAAACCGGAACTAAGAGTAATAACTAATATTACTAGTATTAGATTGGATTAGAATAAAAAGCTGACCAATGTTGCCGTTGTTTTACACAAAAAGAAACAATTATACGCACACTTCTTTTAAACTGCCAAAAAAATGAGTGTGCTTTCAACCACCAGTTCCAAAAATTGTACCACTACACATAATAAGTTGACACAGTCTAAATATCGGAAGTGTATGCTAGGCAATTTATTTGGTTTTAAATCTATTGTATTTGTAATTATCGAGGTCAGTTGCGTTTATATCACTATCTCACCAGGCAACAAGATTAATATGCATATCTGTTAAGTCAATCTGCTATCTTTGTATGCTAATTATCATGTATTAAGTTAAATAGATATGCCTTCAATTGTTTATACGATTATATGAAAAAAGACCTAGTGAAATTATTACCATTCTTTTTACAGCTGTTTTTCGGTTGATTGTTTATACTGTGATCACTTTCTAATTGATGTAATGATGAAATTAGTCTTTAGTAAATCAATATATAATCTACATGAATTGTTTTGTAAATAAAATACCTTATGGTTTTGAAATAGTGTTTTTGTCCCAATTTAAGACTTCTTGGAAGTGAATATCAACACAATTCCGCACACGCACAAAATTCACAAGAGATGTCTATGTTAACCATGATAAGTGAAATAATATTGAATCACTGAGATGGAAACCAATAATCTATATTCTAAATCGAGTCCTATACCTTGTAAAAGGTGTGTGTAGACTGTAGGTTTTTGATTTTACGTAACTCACTAAGTACATATTCATTTGCACGACGCTTTGAGCTACGGTTTATGTGAAAGTGATACTGCCTGACTGTC